AAAAAAATCTTCTTTTAAAGAACCAAAAGAGCTAGAGCTAAGATATGTAGCATGAAACATCTAAAGAGTGTCTACCAAGTTTGTTCAAATAAAAGCCCTGGGGGTCAAAATTGGTCACGTCCCAGGGGTCATTGATTTTCCCTATATGTATATAGTAAAAACTTAAAAAATCTTCTTTTAAATAACTCAAAGAGCTAGAGCTGAGATATTTAGCATGAAACATGTTCCAATGGGTGTCTACCAAGTTTGTTAAAATAAAAGCCCTGGATTCAAAATTGGCCCCGCCCCAGGGGGTCATTTATTTTCCCCATATGTATATAGTAAAAACTAAAAAAATCTTCTTTTAAAGAACTCAAAGACCTAGAGCTAATATATTTAGCACGAAACATCTTCTAGTGAGTGTCTACAAAGTTTGTTCGAATAAAAGCCCTTTGTTAAAATTGGCCCTGCCGGGGGTAGGGGACGGCAGATCATTGTTTTTCATTATAAGTGTGTATATCATGAATCATCTTCTTATAGGTGTCTTCCAAGTTTGTTCAAATAAAAGCCCTGGGGTTCAAACTGGCCCAGCTCTGAGGGCCTACATACAGGTGAGCGACCTTAGGGCCATCATGGCCCTCTTGTATAAATATTCTTTTATGCCATGGTATTTTTCAGTTGTGAAAAGAATATTCAGTTAAAAATAATCTTAATTATGCCCCCTACGAAGAAAAGGGGGTATATTGTTTTGCAAATGTTGATCTGTCCGTCAGTAGACCACATGGTTTCAGCTGATTATCTTGAAAACTATTTATCACAAACTCTTTAATTTTTCACATAGTGATTGGCCATAACTAGTAGATGGTTGGCCATAACTAGTAGATGGTCCCTATTGATTTTTGGGTCACTATGTTAAAGGTCAGGGTCACAGAGGCTTCAAATGTCAAGATGGTTTCCGCTGATTATCTTGAAAAGTATTAAGCACAAAGAAGTCATATTTCACATATTGATTGGTCATAGCTAGTAGATGGCCCCTATTGATTTTTGGGTCACTATGTTAAAGGTCAAGCTCACAGGGGTCTTAAATGTCAGAACGGTTTTAGCTGATTATCTTGAAAAGTATTCAACACAAAGTTGTCATATTTCACATATTGATTAATCATAATTAGTGGATGAACCAAAGTAATTTTTGGGTCAAAGGTCAAGGTCACAGGGTCATCATATTTCTGATTTTGGTTGGTGGCCTCTATTGATTTTTGGTCTGTAGTTTTCTAATATCTGATTATCATTTGAAAACTATTTATCACAAAGTCTCCATTAATTTTCTTTTTTCCATAATTGAACACTTCCATGTACCCATTTATGGCAAGTTTCTGTAACAAAACTACCAATTATGTGTGTCAAGGGCTAGAAAAGGGGGCATATGTGTCGGTTGACATTCTTGTTTTAAGTTTCATTTTAAGTGCTATTTATATCCTATACAATTTTTTTAAACTTCTAATTTATATGTATTTTAGGACTTAATGGAAGTGTCAGTCTCAACATGCTCTGGAAAGGGGAGAAACAATGCAACAGGTTGCCAGTATTGTCCTGCAGACATCAAGACATGGTCACAATATCCCACTGCTTATAGATGATCTAAAAAGCCATTGAAAGTCATTTTAATAGTAAAACCCCTGAGGCCTGCTGCTATAAGGACTAATGCTATATTGACTAGTGTGTGGATCATATTAATTAATGGTTGCCTATGTCAGCTTACCAGTAACTTACTTCCATAATGTTAAAACATTTCATGTGATTGTGTTTTGTGTAATACAACATTTGTCATGTCACTTTAAGTATAGAATTGCATTGAACATATGCATTTCATGAATTGATCAACTGTAATCCTGTCTTTATAAGTTTTTAAAGTCTTGATTTCAAGATAAATAAACAGTTTTAGTTGTTTGTGTGACTATATCTCATTGAAAATGTGAAGTGATAAGCTTCAGTACTTGCTGTCAAGTTTTAAATATTTTATACTTTTAGGATATGAAAACTATTTTATCTATGACAATGATAGATGAGTGAATTTTTTATGTTGATATTGGTGTAGAATGACTTGGTAAAATTTGCATTAATCCTGAACAGAAGCATCAAAATCAAAGAAATTTGCATGGTAGCTAGGCAACTAAAATTTCCTTCAGTTAAAAAGGATTTTTAACAGGAAGAACATATTAATATTAAAAAGACTCTGTATGTTTGATATCATTGTAACTCTTTCAGAACTTAATCTCCTGCATGCCTGAAAATTTGGAAATTTAGAAATTTATAACAAAATAATATATGATAACTCGAAGTGCAGTGCAGTGCAAAAGAATTAGTACTCTGAACTTCTTATTTTTTGAGTAATTGCCGTTTGTTAATTTTCATACTTCAAATTTTGTCTGGGCCATTTCTCTTCAACTATAAAACCTATGGACTTAAAGTTCATAGAATGATAGATCTCATTTAGAAAAAGTGCATTGCACAAGGACTGGTACTTTGAACTTCCTAATTTTTGAGTTATGGTCCTTTGTTAATTTTCATATTTTACTTTTGTCCAGGTCATTACTCCTAAAGTACAAAAGCTATGGACATGAAACTTCATAGGATGATAGATCTCAATAAAAAATGTGCATTGTACAAGAACCAATAATCTGCATTTCTTATTTTTGAGTTATTGCCCTTTATTAATTTTTCATAAATTATAAGAGCTATGGACTTGAAACTTCATAGGATGATATATCTTATTGATAAGAAGTATGCTGCTAGAAAAAATGCTGCTCTGCACTTCTTATTTTTTGAGTTATTCCCCTTTGTTAATTTTCTTGTTCTGGCCATTTCTCCTTAACTACATTGTTCACAAGGCGACATATCCGACTCGTGAAGTTCTGGTTCATTCAAATAGCCAGTTGTGCACTTAAAATTTGTTAAATTTAAAACAAAATTATGGAATATATTGTGGCTGCTTGGCAACACTGATTGATTTTAGCTTGACTGTTCGATTAAAATAAGTAGAGCTTTTGTAGTCACCCAAACGTCGGTGTATACGTAACAACTTATGTCGAAGTTTTTATGATATACCTCAAATATTTTCAAAGTCCATTGCCATATGGCTTTGAAAATTTGCACAATTGTTCGCCATCATGATTCCAACCTGTAGACAGGAGGAGGTGACTGTATCAAGCATTTTAGGATAATTTTTTTCTTTAGTATTTACGTTATAAAGTTTTTGTAATACCTCAAATATTTTCAAAGTCCATTCACATATGGCTTTGAAACTTTGTGCACTTATTCACCAGCATGACCCTTACCTGTAGACAGGAGCAGGTAACTGTACTAAGCATTTTGACAGAATTATGCCCCTTTTTTCGACTTAGAATTTACATTTAACTTTGCATATTACCTCAGATATTTTCAAATTCTATTGACATCTAGCTTTGAAACAAGTTGAAATTTTATACTCTTCTTTGAGAGCATAATAGGACTCTCTTCAAGGCGTACTGTAACATGGTTTTAAAGGAAAATTATTCCCTTGTTAACTAAGAAAATTTTACATTATCGAGGCCTTTTTACTGTCAAGCACTAATAATAGTCCAGCATTGCTTCCCTACCTACAGCTCTTGTTTCTAATTGTTTAGGTATTAAGTAAACCAGTTATACAGCAGATAGATATATATATATATTATATTATATGGAAATTAACACTTGATCAAACAATAACATACAGGCAAAAATACTGAGTTTCTGCTAAAATTAACATGGTTTTCTATCACTAGTCAAGTGTACAGAACCTGTATGTAATATCTTAAATGAAAGATTTTTTAAAAGTAAATAATAGACATAAAATTAATTTATCTCTGCTGCTTTGTTAGCTGTATTTTGCAAAGTAATATGTGAAAACTTTAAAATAAATTTTTAAAAAATATTTAACGGTTGCTAGCTGCCTTTATGTTGTATTTGTGTAATGATATCCTTTATTTGGTACAACTACCTTTTATGTTGTTACACTTTAGTCATATTTAATTTACTGTTGTATTAAACTGTTATCTGTTGTCACAGTAAGTGTTTGTCAGAATAAGATTAAATAATAAATGAATAATAAATGGACACTGTGTTTAGTTCTTCTAGGTGTTTGGACTTTACATCTCCTGGATGTTTCACCCCTGTACGTTTCACCCTCAAAACCCTGGTCTTTCATCTCCACTTTTTATAATATTATGGTATCTCTAAACAGTATTATAACCTGTTAGCACTATAGAAATGCAATAGAACCATTTGGTATTGATTGTTGCAAGTGTTATAAAATACACATTACACACACAAAAAAACAGGAATAGGTCCGTTGCTATATCTCATGACATGTTCATTTTACATTATACCTTTCATGCAGCAAACTTTAAGTCTTCACAAAAGTAGTATGCAATCGTACCTATATTACATACGAATGTATGTAATATTTTTCTTGTTTTATTATAAAGTAACCTTGAAACGATGGACTGTTATTGCATAGTGCTATATTTTTAGAGCAACTTCCTTATTTTTAAATTTGTAAAGATGTATAATAGTTTAGCTTTGTAATTTCTGTAATAACTTTTTATCTATTAGTTTTAAAGTATTTCTATACTGAATTTCGTCTAATTAACACGAGTTCAGCTTATTTATACTAAAATCCATATAGCACGTCCGTAATCTTTACCCGGAAGAAATATAGTACGACTTTTGTTATCACAATATTGCTTTGAATATATTTTGGATAATTTTCATAAGCATGCATGTAGAATATAAGGATATCAATTTTAAGTAATTCAAACTAAAAACGAAGTTTACCTTCCTTTTGAATTAAAGGCGGCTTCTATGGATTTTGTACTGATGTTTAACTTGCTGTGGCACCATTCAAAATATACCAATACAATTTGTGACCAGAGTTTGATTGAATAAAATCTTATGGTTAGATTGTTTTTGTAAGGGAATGAATGACTATTTAATATGAATTTCAGAGTATGCTGACGGACGAGAATTTCACAGATTTAAAGGTGAAAGGTTACACTGTTGTTACAGATGTTCTAACCGTTGAGGAATGTGACCAGACTGTCGACCAGTACAAGGAGTGGCTCTCACAGTTCAAAGATGGCGAATGGCCCTTTTCCGTCAATTCTCTAATTCAAAGGTATAATGTCGGAAATATGCACCCAACGTGGTTTGTTAGGCTCAAGTCAAAGAAAGTCTTTGCCCAAGTTTGGAAAACGGATAAATTGTTATCCAGTGTAGACGCTATTGCCATCGGCCGTCCGCCCGAGAGCAGCGATGAGCAATTTAGTATGCCCGGCGACCATTGGTTACATTTAGACCAAAATCCATCACGTGACGGCCTACACGCCTATCAGGGAGCGGTTTACTTGGAAAGAGCGGACGAAGATGATTGGACGTTGCATGTTCTGGAAAGTTCACATCTACATTTTAAAGATTTTTATGAAACCAATTCCAGAGCAAGTATGAAGTCGGAAATTAATCTTTATTATTCTTTCCTAGATGAAGAAGTTAAGTACATGAAAAACAAAGGGTGTGAATTAAAACGAGTTCCTGTACCTAAGGGCGGTATGGTTCTTTGGGATTCTAGATTAGTGCATGCAAATGCAAATCCATTGAAAGGGCGTAAGAATCCCGGTAGGTGGCGGTACTGCGTCTTCGTGTCAATGACCCCAGCCATATGGGCAACAAAAGAGGACATGAAGAAGAAGAAAGAGGCGTATAATAATGCATGGATGACAACTCACTGGTCGTCGCAAGGAATAATGTTCTTCAAAACATCTATTCCATCTTTTGCACCGAGAGAAGTCGAATATCCAACACAACAACCGGAAATTGCGAAATCGCGCGAGGCAAAATTGATTTCTGGGGCATTGGAGTACGATTTTCAAGATGGAGAGCCTACTGGCAAGGAATTAAAGCCACACTGGAGGAAACGGCTACTTCCAAACGGAGACGATTTCGTGCTTGATAAGAAGAAGTTACTGAAATATGGAATAATAACTCTAGCAGTTGTGGCTGGTCTTGTCATATTTAAAATGAAGAGAAAGTGAAAGTTAATACCTTGAAGGTTTTCTCTTATTATTTAAGAATAGTGATTGGATATAAGTGATTAATTAAAACGTTGATTTATTTCGTTTCATTACCGGTGATTATAATGATTGAATCGAAGCTTGTGATATAATTTAACAAAGATGTTGTGACTTAGTGTTGGGACTGAAAATTCAACGTGTTGATATTTATAGAGATAATATTTATATAGACGTCGCAATAGGGGACAATTCTAATTAAGTATGAGGTCACTGGTTACCGACAGGTTATTTCCCCTGTTTTGTTGCAGAATGAGAGATATTGAACAATGTACATGATGATCAATATTATTTTGTAAATATATGCTGAGAAATATGAAAACATTTTGTAACGTGTTTTGAAATACATGGATTAGTTATTTACGGTTAATCGAGATGTGATTTTGTTTTATTTGAATAAGATGACTGTTTAGGAACACATAATTAAACTTCTTGTAATCGTAAATTATGATATACAAGTTTAATTTTTTTCAGCTTGCAATAAATGATACAGTGAATGTAATCGCAATAGCTCATATTGTGTATAAACAAACTGATACAGTGATTTCGTTTCTACATTTTGAATATGTGCCATTTTTCTTGTTTTTTTATTTAAAACTGCATGCTTCCAGATGACAATATATTCAAAGAAGTAATAATGTTCATGTTATATATACAATTAATGACAGCTTTTACAGTACGGCGCCACCTACGCAGTAATGGTTATTTTTGGATATTTTGACATCTTTTGGTAATTAACGAGGATTGTAAGTGCTGTTTGCATTGTGTAAATTACTTTTTTATTGTCATCTGAGAATATTTTATATATTCATATATATACATATACATTAAATTTTTTTTTAAAGGCCCAATATGCCTCAGAAATACTTTTATTTTTATTTCTCGAAAGCTACTTAATTTTGGTGTACTTTAATAATTACCAAAATGTTACTCATTCCCCAATTTCCTGGACCATCTTTTTCATCTGTTGCTTTTTTCTGGAACAACTTGGTCAAATTTGACGAATTTTCCTTCTACATTCCTAGCATGAAGCTTTACGAAAATTATATACAAAACATATGTTACTTTGGTAAAAATTAAGGCAAGCAAACTAAAAATAAGAAAAATGAGAACACTGTGTATGTACAATAACGCATGAATGTGCGAATAGACTTGTTCAATAGTAACGTAGAGTTGTGACCGGAACTGTTCAATAGTAACGTAGAGTTGTGACCGGAACTGTTCAATAGTAACGTAGAGTTGTGACCGGAACTGTTCAATAGTAACGTAGAGTTGTGACTGGAACTGTTCAATAGTAACGTAGAGTTGTGACCGGAACTGTTCAATAGTAACGTAGAGTTGTGACCGGAACTGTTCAATAGTAACGTAGAGTTGTAACCGGAACTGTTCAATAGTAACGTAGAGTTGTGACTGGAACTGTTCAATAGTAACGTAGAGTTCTGACCGGAACTGTTCAATAGTAACGTAGAGTTGTGACCGGAACTGTTCAATAGTAATGTAGAGTTGTGACTGGAACTGTTCAATAGTAACGTAGAGTTGTGACCGGAACTGTTCAATAGAAACGTAGAGTTGTGACCGGAACAAGCAGCATTGTAGAAAGATATGAAAAGAACGTTTTATTTCAGTCTTATTAACAGTATATGTACATATACATTTTAAAGATCTAATCTACAATTTACATAAGAGTGACCAATCAATTAATGATTTGTAAGAGATAAATATACTCGTATTTATTGATATCAAACACATGTACATTGTAAGGTGTAACAAGAGCTGTCGGGAGGACAGCACGTTTGACTATTCCTAGTGCTTTATAGTAAAGAACCTAGATAATGTAATTTCTTTAATGTAAAAAAGTTCACCAAAGGGCTATTTTTTTCAAATCCATGTTATATCCATGTTATATAGTTATAGGCCTTGGAGAGAGAGTCCTATTATGCTCTCAAAGAAGTGTATACAATTTCAGCCTTTTTTAAACTCAGATGTCCATGGAAAAAAATCAGAGATGGTACGCAAACTTTAACGTAAATTGAAAGTCGAAAAAGGGGCATAATTTTTTAAAAGCTCTCATTATGTCATGTTTGAACATGGAATGAGAGAAATAAATGTTTTTGACATTGACTTTATGGCTGTCAAAATGCTTGAAAGAGTTGGGGGCATGATGATGAACAAGTGTGCAAAGTTTCAAGGCCATATGTCAATGGACTTTGAAAATATTTGAGATGGTACACACGCTTTAAAACAAGTGGTTACGCCGACACCGACGCTCGGGTGACTAAGATAGCTCTACGTTATTCTTACTTAAAAAGTAAAACTATATATGTATTAGTTAGCACATGCCTAACATATTAAGATTAACTAGAATTTATTCAATTTATAATTGAATGTATGATGATCTTAAGATAATTATTGCAATCATAACTAGTTTTCCTACTCTATACAATATTGACCGAGCATTATAAATGATATTATTGTTATTTTATTGCTATATGTTTAGAATATATCCACAATTTACGTTTATCTTGTTTTATCGGAGATTTATATATGGTAATATGTTATTGCATTGAATAGGACAATTAGATTTAAATGTGAATGAAGTAGATGTATGTTTGAGAGAATAACATTTTCAGCAGAACCCCACAGACGTGTGATACTGATGAGACCAATTGTGGTTAGAAAATATGTGGTCTTAATAGTGAGATAGTCCGGCACATTGTGGTTAGAAAATATGTGGTCTTAATAGTGAGATGGTCTGGCACATTGTGGTGCCTCAGAGTTTAATTAATTAAACCTTCTTTAGAAAATGCAAACATGTGTTTTAGAACATTAAAAATGATTATTTGACACGTTAAATGCTTAATTATTACATGAAATAAGTAGCACTGAATGTAAAAGTACTTTTCATAAAAATATCAAAATGTAAACAAAGTGATATTTTTACTTCCATACAAAATACATAATAATTATATGATATATAGACTAACTACTAGTAACTACCAACAAGCAACAAATGCATGGCGTAAGAAATTGGCAGATTAGTAGCGTTTTGGAAAATATAGTCTGACACCAAAGTTAAAATCAAAGCACAGAAGGCGCTGAATTTGTTTGGGTCTCAGAATGTCAGAAAGGTGAAGGTTGTGAGATTGTAAATCAATTTGTTTTTGTATAGTGCCACCAGTGCTTTCCAGCGTTTTAATTGTAGTTTATTGGCTTTAAGACTAATTGCAACACTGATATTCAATTCAATGTTTATTTGACATAAACAATTTGAAAAAAAAGAGTTGCCTTCCTGGATTTGAACTCCAGACCCCTCGGCCACGGTGAAGTTATATGTAAAAGGCCTGAAGAAAACCATATTATTCTAAATTAGGGTTTGTAACCCTTATCATTTCGACGCTAACTGTTGTTTAACACAGATGTTAATAATCATGAGCTTATTATAAGCATGTATATCTATAAAGGATAAAACAATATTAAAAATCTTCGACCATTCGGGAATTATTTTGCTTGAAAATTAATGCGCCTGTCATTTGACCATCTTTACGCAGTGATCTCCCCTGAATTTTTCGGCGTTAGTGTACATATAAAGGGAAGTAACTGCTTCAAAAAAGCGGTCTACTTTCGGCATTTGCAATTAACAGCATCAGACTCTGAAATTTCGCTACCATTATTTGTTTGGTCTGACGACCCAAACAAATAATAAAATATACATTTCTATGGCATAACACCATAGTCACCTAGGGTCCTGTACTAAACATAATAGAAAAGAATTATTTTCTTTATTGAAATGGGGATACAATTTGGATCCTTCATGAAACCAATTCAGCATTTGTTCTACATATATATAATCTAAACAAAATGAGAATATATTTTCACACACGTGATTTTCAGATTTTAACATAACATATGTAATACATATAAATTTTCAAACTGATGTGAAAACGGTCTTTAGTGATGTTTGGTCATGTTTACAGTCATGATTTCTTAATTACAAGTGTGAGATACGACGATATAAGTGTACCAGATGTAAATGTAAGTTTAGCCAGATGTACACTATATCGTATCATAGTTTGGGGACATTTCTGTTGAAAATGTGTCAGAGTTAAATCGTATACATATACAAGTACATGCACAATGCGTTAACTGGGGTTCAGGTATTAGTTACCCGCACTGCAGAGCATGTCCATTAATTGATTGGCTCATTTTTTTCTGGGGCTTTACTTATTGCGACGACAGAGAAAGGGATAGCGACAGAAATATCATATTTAGATGCTCGTTCATTGGTTACTTTTTCTGGGGTTTCATATTGTGACAACAGGGAACGTACGTGTTTTTATTTTTGACTATGATACAAAAGAGGAAGAACAATAAAATAATCGGCAATCTGATTTAAACTCGTGGGCTACGCCCTCTCGTACAAATCAGATAGCATCGTGTTTCGATGCTCTTTCTATTTCATGTATAATAATCGTTCTCGGTGTAACAGAAGCAGATTGAGGCGTTAAAGATAGTGGAATGGAATAAAACATCAGTATTACGAAGGTATGAGAATAAGTCATAGAAGAGGTTCGAACCTACAGCGGTAAGTGGCAAGTGATTTAAAGTCAGCAACCATAATCACTCGGCCACGACTTAATATTTGCAAAACAACAACAACAACAAAACAATAACGACACCAACAACAACAACAATGGACTGTGTATAAGAATATGTTGTATATGCAGTTATTTTCAAAATTTGGTCTTTCATGAAAATTGATCGCAATATGTTAAGATACACCGATCACCCATCTAAAATGCCTTCCAAGTATGGCATACTAAATTAACCTTCATAAGTTTGATTTGAACCAATATACCGGTGCGCTCCTAAATCGGATTTACTTTGCAATGTTATTGACACCAACGTTTTGTATTCTGTTAACACAAAGTTATTTTAACCTGAATAACACAGCTCAAGATAAGTAATAGAAAGAGCACCGAAACACGAGGCTATCTGATTTGTACGAGGGGGCGTAGCCCCCGAGTATTAATCAGATTGCCGAGTGTTTTGGTGTTCTTTCTCTTTTGTATCATAGTCAAACATAAAAACACGTTCCCTGTTGTCACAATATGAAACCCCGGCAAAAATGAACCAATGAACGAACATCTGAATATGACATTTCTGTCGCTTTCCCTTTCTCTGGCGTCACAATATGTAAACCCCAGCATAAATGAGCCAATCAATGGGCATGCTCTGGAGTGCGGGTAACTAATACCCGCACTCTAGTTAACGCACTGTGCACGTATATGTATACGATTTAACCCTGACACATTTTCAACAGAAAGGTCTCCAAACTATGATACAACGTTTAAATATCGTATTACAACAAACAAGTCACGGGTTAATTCATAGGCAGGCGAAGAACATGGTATTTAGGTACAGATAATGTATCGTCTTTGTAATAAATTTATAAGCTAAAAGTCGGATGTGATCATGTAAAATGAAGTTATCTGAAGTTTATGTAGATCTTGTTTTAGTATATCTTGAGGTTTATATAATACTAATATATATTTGTATTCTGCCTTTTTTGTCTCAAGAAATTATACCCATTGGTATAAATTATGTATATTTAAACGTTTAAAATGTACGTTTTATATAGAATTATCCTACTCAAAGTTTGCTAAGCACCAAGAGTATTTTTGTACCTATCTTAGGCCGTGTCTACACCTATTCAAGTTTCTTACATGTCACATTTAGATAAGCTAAATAAATGGCCCTTTCAACATTTTTTCAGGCACAATTTTTACTGAAATGTCTCATTAAGATAGCCCAGGATTTATACCTTTGTCTTTGCAAGACTATCATGTTTCTGTAAAATATGTGAAAAAAAGCGGGAAAATGATGCAATTAGCTAAAACAGAATGGAGTAAAATTGAAAAAATTTGACAAAAATTTATTTTGATGCAAATTCTTTATTCGATGAAAGTTATTCACTAAATGAACAAGATCATTTTAAATCCATTTTGACTCTACTTGAAAAAGAGCTCTTTTTTATTTTTTACGATGTATTTATTTATTTTTTATTTTTTTTTTTTTTTGCTCTTCTGTGTATCAGCGTATTGATTTGTTCCTTTGACCAAGACATTGTAATCATTTACTGAAATTCAAAGGACATGTACACTGAATCAACAACAAAAAGTCAGAAAATAATAAAAATAACAGCACTATCAAACCTTCGGGCACATGTTTTGTGTCAAACCGGTGTTATCAGTGTCTTGACAGCCAAAAACTTGTAGAAAAATAGAACGTGTTCTAACTTTCTTGCAAGAAATTATCTTCATGGATGTCACATAATTTCTCATTAAAAACCATTCAAGTAGGGTGTCTACACTATCCAATTCAAGAGAATATGATACTTGCATTCAAGACTTGGATAGGTGTAGACGGGCACTTATGTTGTATGTCAAATATAAGATATCTTCCTTTCTTATTTAAGACATAGTGATTTATAAACATCATTAAGGAATTTTTTAGCAATTGTAATGTGTTTTCATGTTGATTTGTTTTGATTGTAATGAAATTGTGTGTTTGTGTTTTTTTGTGTACTTCACTTCAGTGTTGTTATATTTTTCTGGTCCTTCGGGATCATTGATGCCAGCACTCTTAAGTGTTGAGAAATGAGTACCGCTTAATCCGGTGCAAGGGGGCGTGAGGGATGTTGCACTTATTCATAATCTCTCCTGTACAGACTCAATCAAACCGAGTCTGCAATTCTTATGTAATTTTGTTGTGATAAATGCTTCCGAGGGATCACTTTGTTTCCAGATTTTTAGACGGTTATGGTGGAACTTGTGGATAACTAATTTTTGCCTCCAAAAATCTTTTCAAATAACTGATTTTGCTTTAAAAGCGAGTATGTGACCCAGTGTTGTCAATGACAGCTTGACACCGTAGTTGCATATCCCCTATCAGGTTTCTTAGGACAGCTTGTGTGATGGTATTTAACTCGTCAATAAGGGCGGCACTTACTAAGCTCCTGGGTACTTCTTGGCTTGACCTGACGGGTTGAAATACTGACCTGTAGCTCATTCCATATCAATCCGATTAAGATCCGGGGATCGGGTTGGCCAGTCCAAAAGAGTAATACCCTGTCTTTCCAAGTACTCTTCGACGACATTGGCTGTATGGATACAGACATAAGCATCCATCAAAATGAACCCATTACCAATTGTACCAGCATACAACCTTACCTGGGTTTTAAAGATCTCATCTCGTTACCGCTGGGCAGTCAATGTGCATCTGTCGAGGACAATGAGGTCATTACGTCCATCCCGGCAGATTCCACCCCAGATCATTATTGGTCCGCCACCATAGCTATCGTGTTCCGCAATGTTTGCTGCATGGAACCGTTTCCCTGACCTTCGCAATACTCTAGCACGCCTTTCTGTGTAGTCCAGGCAGTACATTGACTCGTCGGTGAAGAGGACAGACGCCAGTCCATCCTGCTCCAACCAACATGGTCCATGGCCCAAGCATATCGGAGCCGGCAGTGGTCTCTATAGACAGCGGGATCCGTATACATGGTCCTCTCGATCGCAGGCCGCCTCTTTCATGCAAACGTGTACTCATAGTTTGTGTTGACACACTCACGCCTGAAGCATTTTGAAGGTCAGGACGAAATAGGATCATTTTGTTTGTACTACTTGCACGTGCAAATGACCTGTCATTCAAGGTTTTGTATACACAGGGTACACTGTCGATACATTACTACACGATTTAAACAATGTAAATATCATAACATTATATGATTAAAAATGCATGATGCTAATGTGGAAAACTTGGTGCTTAGCAAACTTTGAGAAGTCCATATACTTACATATACTTATATAAATATGAAATAAAATCTTAATTAATCATAAAATAATTTTAGTATTTCCTGTATTATTGTCATTAACCATACGTTTTATTCCAACTTTATTCGAAAAAGTGGAGGTATATTGCTTTTGCACGTCTTCACGATAAATCGGACGGTCCATACACTATAATAACTATCAAAAGCTTCGGCATCCAAGTCTAAGATTGATATGAGGGTTTATTATGGAAACCTTGAATAATGCACAAAAGGGAACTTGAGGTATCACTCCATAAGTGAAGCTGGAAAGTCACCATATAACATATACTGTGCTAGTACGATGTATAATACAACAACAAAAATATAAAAAATATAAAAGACACAGGTGATCTAGGTTCAATATTACTGCTAATTCGACCACTATTTAGATATTTAGAGTAGCTCTACTGTCCTAAGATTTGGTGTAAAGGATCATGACTGTAACTCATAATTTTATGGCCAGTGAGAAAATTTAAGAATGACAACAAAAATGTATCCGACCAATACGTAAACAATGCTTTGTCCTAGAGGTTTTAAGTTTAATAGGGAAGCTGTTAATCACTAAAAGATGACGCGATATATTTTATGGGAAAATTGACTGTGATCTGAAAATTTTAACAACGTTAACCGTTAAGAAGTTCACATAAGTCTTGTTTCCGTTCGCACTTCCATCCTACTAAAACATTACTTTGCATCAAACAATAAAGTAGAGAGAAACGCCCAAAACAACAAATGTGAAAATGTTGCAGTTGATCAAGCTTGTTTATGGATGGTATTCCCCAGGGTTCTTGTGCTGGACCGGTGATATTTACTCTCTATATAGCTGCCCTTAACAAAATAGTCCAGAAATATCCGGCGGAATTGTATGGATATGCAGACGATCATAAAGTGGCATTCAAAATTAGAGCTGGTGACCATCACAGCGAAGAAATCGTTCGCCAAAAACTCACTGACTGTCTTAATGATATTGTGTCATGGATGACCAGATTTAAGTTGAAAATGAACAATAGCAAAACAGAAATCATAATTTATGGTACAAGATATCAGCTGAAGAAATTGAACATTTCCAGTGTCAATGTTGGTGGGGTCGAAGTCAACTGTGTTGACAATATGAGAGACCTTGGAGTACAGATGACCAGCACTTTAAGTTTTGACATCCATATTCAAAAGAAGTGTCAGATTGCACACATGCAGTTAAGAAATCTGAAAGCAATCAGAAATCCTTGTTCACGGTTTGATTCATTCACATTTAGACTTTTGCAATGGATTATTCGCGGATATTTCAGCCTACCAACTTGATAAATTACAACGTGTGCAGAATCATGCTGCTAGAATTGTCACTGGAGCTACTTACTATCAATCCAGTGCTGAAATCCTTAAATCACTCCACTGGCTTCCAATTCGAGTAACAATCATGTACAAATTTATTGTGACTGTGTTTCGTGTTGCAAATGGCACCGCTCCATTGTATCTTCGTGAATTGTTCACTAAATGCCAGAGTCAGTACAGGAAAAGACTGAGATCCTCATCATCTAGCCACACTCAGTTTGATATACCATCAACAAATTCAAAACTTGCTGATAGATCTTTGGCTATTGAGGGAATTCATTGCCAGACTATTTGAAGGACATTACCAATGAAAATCAGTTTAAGGCCAAACATAAAACATACTTGTTTGGACTGTTTTTCAACTAGAGTTGTAGATTGGCTGTGCCATCGAGGCTGGGTTTGGGAGTGTCTTGATCAAGCATATGTGTATATAGTCTTAATACTGTATGTACAGCGCAATCGAATATTTAATACATTTTTGCGCTATATAAATGTCTTGTATTTGTATGTTTATTAGAAAGTGTAAATTACCGCCCCTAAGCACCGGCTTAAGCATAAAAAACTCGTTTAACTGCACAAATATGTCGGATAATGAGAATCACATCTTCATGTTTGTGTCATGTTTTTGCTTTGTTAATGTAAAAACTTGGATATATGTTGTATGAAACTTTAAAATGTTTAAACATCCACAAATTCTCTTTTGAAACTCTCATAATCCAGATAGAAATACATTATGTATTTTCAATAAAAAAAAAATCCTGGTATATTTAACGTACCTACATTCTTACCTACCAACACTTTAACTCTACTAAACTGTCATGAGGTGAACATATATTTTTCGGACTGGCCTTAAACATATAATGTGTTGACAGTTGGTGCAAGCTTGTTGCAAACATCTATTGCTCATATAAATAATGAATACTTCCGGAAATATATACAGTATAATTTGTATTTTCTAAAATCTTTACTGAATTAATTACCAGCACATCTAATTATAAATCATGACAAAACATTTTAGTAATTATATTTTTTACAAATTACTAGTACACCTCCACAGTGCACTTCGCATCGATCGTGTTATTGTTATATTTACTGTTGTAAACGTATGTCGGGAATAGATTTGACATAATACACATTTGCCTAGTTCCGGAGAATATCCCTATTTTTATTATTTTGCCGTCTCATAATGATATAATGGTTATAAACATGTAAGTCCCGCTAGCGTAATACATAGAGCTAATGATGTGTCGAGCTCGAATGTGCAAACAATTGCAAACGTCCTAGCCCTGCCTATATTATAGTTGAGAATATCACGTTCCGTGTTTTCCTTCTGTTTTATTAGGAAATAAATATAGTGTTTTATACATAACCCTTATCGAAACCGAAAGTAGGTGGATAAGGAAGTTTTATACAAATTTATGACCTTCGATTATCTGTCAACGTCAGTAAAATTCCTAAGACAAATCGTTTTTTTATTGATTTGTTTAAAGATCCACTTTAAAGTGTGATATCGTTAATATAATGGAGGGTTCTGACGAATTTCGTGAAATCTTCTGTGAGCCTTGTGGAAAAATTCAACAAAAAACAACAGCGGATGGGTTTTGTGTTGACTGTTCTGAATACTTATGCGGACAGTGTTGTCACCATCACATGCGTTTTAAACAATTTGAACACCATGTTCTACAAGATAAAGACAGCATGCCTTTGGATCCAAAAAATACTGTATCTAAATATGTCTGCACATCAAAGTGTCAAGTTCATGCGGATGAAGTTATAAAATATATATGTAAGACCTGTGATAAGATTGGGTGCAACGTTTGCATGACGATAAATCATCGATCATGTGATGGTGTCAGGTATATCCCGGACGAAGTGAAGAAATCTGATACATCTGTAGAAATACGAGAATTTGCGAAAATGATAGATGATATGATTGAAGAGCAAACGAAATTGTATGTCAAGATTGACCAAAATTTTCAACTGTCTGATGAAATGAACACAACAGCATGTAAGGACCTTGAGCAACAAAAAGATCAGATTGTCACCTTCTTCGAAAATCTTTATGATAAAATTAAAACCGAAGTTGTTGGAAAACAGGACGCAGATAAAAAAGTATTTGAAACGTTGTTGAAAGAAGTCAGTATTATGCAAACAGATATGAAAAATCGGAAAGCGAGACTACAAACATTAGAACAAGGTCAACAAATCTGTGAAGCTTTTATTTTTATGAAATACACGCAGGCAGCCATGGGAAAGATGTCAAGTGACATGAAGGAACTTTCAGAAAGTGGAAAAGAAAAACCAGCTAGATACCAGCCATCTTTAGATGTCGAAGAGCTAAAAGAAGATATCAAATGCTTAGGGCGTTTGTTTACAGGAGAGTCAGACCAGATAACACAAAGTAAGATAAACAAGTAACGACAAATGATATCACAAAGTCGTCATTTTACACATAAAAAAATGTATTTTGCGACTGTTCATTCAGTCGATTACTTTAGTTGTAAAGAAAAGACAATGTCATATTTGAAAAATATTTATTTTAATGCTATTATATAATTATTGTACATGCACCATGAAATAATAATGGGTTATTAGATATATATTCAAATTCGGAAATTATAGTTTATAGAAAAGAAAAACGGCAAGCTTTGTAATAACTTGTAAAAAGAGCATAACACAATTCAATTTATCCTTTGAATAATGTTAATCCTTTTTCGTCAGTATACGAAATAAGCTACGCGTCTACCCATTGAATTAGAAAAAGTACTGAAATCACAAAGTTACATTAGTTCTTGTATAAAATTGTCAGGGCTTGCCTATAACACTTTTTTGTGCTTTGATTATCAATTTCTGTGAAGGCACGTATAAAAATGTCATTAATGAATCCGATGATTATGTCATTTGTTCCAGTCGAGTCGGTAAAGAAAAAGATGGAGAAAGAGCTCCATATGATACGACGTGAAAAAGAGGATCTGAAGGATGTTCTAGATAGGACAAATGCAATAGCTGAAGACCTTAAGAAAAATGTCAATGAGTTACAGACATGTGTACATAAGGTTAGTTTTATCTTTATTTTGTTGATGAAGTTAACTAACGGACATTCCTTTGAATTCACTTATAAATCCGTTTCCTGGTTGCATGGTTGATCGGGCCTGTAAGTGTTTGTACTTTATATGAATTTGTGTTGTGAAGGATAATTAGTAGATGATGCCTATAGGGCAGCTGGCAAAGTGTTAACATGAATTCTTAAAAGAAGAACACATGTACATAGGTATATAATACAGATAGGAGATTGAACATGTAAAGTTTTACAGATTAAATGTGTTCAACTTTTTTCAAGATTCAGAGTCACTGTATATAAGATATTTTAAACCGTTTCATTTTCTATGTAATAAAATCATACCGATGTGTTTGTGTTTTCAAATGGTGGCCAATATATTTAAGGCTAATGTTTAAAGGTGTCTATTATCTTTATTTTCCATATATTAGGGCTGTCGCACAATGTCATGGATAATCCATGCAAAACAAAAATTAACATCCAAGCCTAAAAAACTTGGAACAAGTAAAAATCTATCAATTTGCAATAAGAAACACCATTTCATGGAAATTAGATATTTTGATTTAAAAATCATAAATACAGACATGAAGTGTGCGTATGTTGGCCATGCCAATTAATAGTCCTTTTACAAACCTTACATATTTTCTAGAATGTAATTTTATACCTTACTAGGTTTGCTTACTTCAATTGTTATTAACAATGTTATATAAAGAAACGGTATATATTATTTAAGGAAAAACAAAACAACAAACATCTGAAAACTGAGAAAGAAAATCAAAAACTGGACTATGAAAGCAGGTAGTACTTAATTTTCACTTGACATATTCATATGATTATTTATGTTATTTGACTTATATCGGCCCGTAGTTCGTCAAACGTAAATTAATTGGTAAAAGTTTGTTCCCTTGAACGATAACAATTTACCTTACAGTCATCTTCACAAATGTTTTCACTTTCAAGCTCTGATTATTAATCTGTAAGTTTCTCCTTTGTTCTTATTTGAACAAATCTTGGACAGAACATATACTTATATTGGAAACATCGTTTGACACCTTTATTATTGACTAATGTCTTTCGAATTTGGGTTAAACATACCTTGTGTGGTCATCTAACATTGGGTAGAGTAAGGGTTAAGTGAGTTGAAGGAAACGGTCTTTAAATATTTTTTGTTTTACTTTTGCTTTTACAGCCTTTATTTATTAACCGATGTTTTCGTATTTTGGAAGTAAATATTTTGGGTAGTCCTATAAGTTTCAATAGAAAAGTGGTGACTTGGGTAAGGATCAAGGTCATCCACAAGATGTTTATATTTTTGCTCATGTAGCCTTTATTTTCCGACTGATGTCTTTAATGTTGGTAGGTAGATACTGTAGGATGTCCTATAATTTTGGCTTACTTTGGTCAAGTCCACTGATTTTTTTAGCTCATGGTGAGCTATAAGTATCAAAGGGGGATACTCTGGCGTCCGTCGTCCGTCGTCTTCTTCTCTGAAACCGCTGGGCAGATTTACTTCAAATTTGGTCTGTAGCATCCTTGTGACAGTCACTGTTGAATTTGCTCATTTTTAGGGGTCAACAGAGCTAAAAATAGAAAAAACTTTTAAACATCTTCTACTACAGAACTAATTGATGGATAATCATCAAACTTTGTCTGTAGCATTCCTGGGTAGTCTTTTGTCAAATTTGCTCATATTAATTTGATTGGCCCCTTTCAGGGGTCTCTAGGACTAAAAATAGAAAAACCTTTAAATGTCTATTTCTACAGAACTAATTAATGGATGATCACCAAACTTTGTCTGTAGCATTCTTGGGTAGTCTTTTATCAAGATTGATCATATTAATTTGATTGGCCCCTTTTTAAGGCCGCTAAAGCTAAAAAATAGAAATACCTTTAGACATCTTTATCTAGAGAACTAATTGATGGATGATCACCAAACTTTGTCTGTAGCATTCTTGGGTGGACTTGTATCAAGATTGATCAAATTAATTTGATTGGCCCCTTTTAGGGGTCTCTTGAGCTAAAAATAGAAAAATGTTTAACATCTTCTACTATTGAACTAATTGATGGATGATCACCAAATTTATTCTGTAGCATTCTTGGGTAGTCTTTTATCAAATTTGCTCACATTAATTTGATTGGCCCCTTTAAAGGGTCTCTAGGGCTAAAAATAGAAAAAAACTTAAAGTTTAGACATTTTCTTCCACAGAACTAATTGATTGATGATCACCAAAACTTAGTCTGTGGCATTATTGGGTAGTCTGATATCAAGTTTGCTCATATTAATGTGATTGGCCCCTTTTAAAGGCCGCTAAAGCTAAAAATAGAAATACCTTTAAACATCTATATCTAGAGAACCAGCTGATGTATGATCACCAAAATTTGTCTGTAGCATTTTTGGGTATGCTTTTATCAAATTTGCTCATATAAATTTGATTGGCCCCTTTTAGGGGTCTCTAGGGCTAAAAATAGAAAAAGCTGTAAATGTTTTCTTCTACAGAACTAATTGATGGATGATCAGCAAACTTTGTCTGTAGCATTCTTGGGTAGTCTGATATCACGTTTGCTCATATTAATGTGATTGGCCCCTTTTAGGGGCCGCTAAAGCTAAAAATAGAAATACCTTTAAAAGTTTATTTCTACAGAACTAATTGATGGATGATCACCAAACTTTGTAGCATTCTTAGGTACGTTTTTTAAAGTTTGCTCATATTAATTTGATTGGCCCCTTTTAGGGGCCACTAAAACCAAAAATAGAAAAACCTTTGAACATTTCCTACTGAAATAATTGATAGATGATCACCAAACTTTGTAGCATTATTAGGTTTGCTCATATTAATTTGATAGGCGCCGTTTAAGCTAAAGCTTAAATGCCCCAGGTCATGGCATTTCTTCTAGTTATTGTTTAAACATATTCTATGCTCAAATTAAATATCAGAACATATTGACAATGGATAATTTGCAACTCTGAAAAGCAGTTGTTTCTGGTGAGCGACTCCGGGCCATCATGGACCTCTTGATACATTTTGCTCTGACTACCTTTATTTATTATTGACTGCTACATTCACAAGTATGCAGGTTTTGGTAATATCAATGGTCTTAAGCATTATTCATGTAGGAAAGAATCTAGTGTAAAGTACAATATAACATGTTCACCATTGATATTGTAAAAAGAGTGAATCTTGGAATTCACAGTAATTAACATGTATAGATATTTGGCATGTACCATCACTTTGTTGGTTTAATCAGTTGTGTACATAAAATAAACAGAAGATTGATGTTTGTGTGAGTATTGATGTTATAAATGTAACGACAGGTAATAAAAAAGAAAATTATTTCTATTTGAGGCATACTTTCTTTTGCCTTTGAATTTCTGTCGTGTATATGGTGTATATTGATTATTTTTTTTAATTTGCAAAGAAAAACCAAAAAAAATCTGAAACTGAAATGCTCGTTAACCATCGTTGTTATCATCAGACATTGTCATGCACGTGGTCGATGGTTCTACTTAGGTGCTCGTTCGTGCCTAGAATAATGCATAGACCTGCTAGGAATGATCGTTACCCCTGTCCCATTTCAACCTCTGTGAAAAAAAACTTGTTCGTTCGTGCCTAGAATAATGCATAGAGAGACCCATGAAGCCTTCCTTCAACAGTTAGACTGAAAAGTCGCATAATGCCATCCACTTTATTAAAGCGTCTCCACCCATAAAGTGACAGATAGTGGATTATGATGTTTTTAATGTTAATTAGGAGTTAGGAAATTTATCAAAATGTTCTCCTATACATAGAATTATACATTAATTGTTTCCAATGATTGTTCTATAATTACACTTAATTGTAAATGTCTCTACTGACTGTTTTATAATTACACATAACATAGTGAATGTTTTAAAAAGTTTTCGCATTCAGAGTTAAGATTATTAGCAAACAACATTAAGTTGTAGTCCTGAATGAATTGTTCATAAATCATATCTTATGGTTTAGATTGACCGGCCAGGGTCACTAAGTGTTGTAAACTTCAGTTAGAAATATTATAAATAGACATATTGCGCGAAATAACAATGAGATAGCGCTTAGATATTTTGCATGCAACAGTGCCATATGAACCCCTACAATAATTTATGAGTCGTGGAACTGGTCCTGATCTTTGGTAACCTAGCTTCCAGACACTTCTATTGCACACATCTGTTCAAAAATCCTCTACTTCAAAACTACAACGTCAAGAGCTTATTTGACACAAATGATCATCTTGAAATCCCGGTGTTCCTTAGTTTACATTGCTCGTAATTTAGAAGAAACATTTAAGGTTTCTTCAGTTTATCATTACATTGACTTTTTCGATTTATTTTTCGTGAAACGTACATCAAATTGCCTTCTCCTTAGGTCATTGGGCTACATTAACGTATATTAAATCTTATTTTTGAAGTATTTTGATTAGAGCGTATATTTTAAGTCTGGCGTAAACAGACATGATCTATAGTTGTATGGATGTTGTCGCTATTTAACCCAACCTTATAAATGTCTAACTGAAAACTACCTTTTGAATAAAATATCTATGACCTTTCCGAATATCAGATCGTCATAGTCTCCTGGTAATGGATTGAACATACAATTTTTTTCAGATAAATCTGACATAATGTTAGAGTTTATGAGTTTTTTTTAACACAATTATAGTAAAAATAAACTAACAAAAAAGACAAAAAAATAGTTCTCAAATTTGATGATAGAGTTTTGTTAACCATATGATAAATAATGATTATATACTAGTATATAAATAGTGATTATATTGTTTTTCTTTTGTTTCAGATTAAATAAAGTGAAACAAGAGTAAGTATGGTAGAAATTCCTTTCAGATTGAAAAAAATTATGTGTTACAAAGTAGAAATGTGTTAAATTGCTTATCAGATATATGACCTTACATAAACGAATATAAATTGATTAAAGCATTCTTTGTCGAAGGAAGATCTAGGCCATATTTGTTTAATATAAACAATATTTTGATGATCTCCATATTTTGAAAATATAAATAACCTGACTATCACGATAGTTGATTTATAATTATTATTATTATTATTGTTATTATTATTATAATTATTATAATAATAATTATTATTATTATTATTATGACTTATGGTCAATGTAATCTATTTGTTTCAGTTCTCATTCAAAAGATATGTAAGTATACAAGATACTATTTTTGAGATAATATGATAAGAGTAGCACAAAAACTGTTGATTGGATACATTTATTGATTGATTTCTTGTTTAAACTTGTAGGTGAAGAATAAATATTCTTGACCACACGCCAAAATTTCGTTCTGAGATATTGGCAATTATGCATTCGATCCTTTAAATTGTTACACATGGCTTAAGAATGGTGACGTTTAAGTTAATTCCGTAATATTCTGATCATATTTGCTAGTTAAGTTTGACCTTTGAACTTTTATAAAGCTGCTTTCTGTACCGATTGAAACTTTTATTAGTTCTTGCAAGCACATATTTACATAGGTTAAATAAAGTCTTTGTTTCATTGTGTGCGTCCTTTGCCTTGTTGATCTTTATTGTCGTCTTTTATTGACTAAGTCGCATCGCTAAAAAATAATATTGAATTTGTAATTCTCTTTTTCATATGATGAAAATTGATTATTAAATATAATTTTGTTTCAGCCAACTTAAAAAAGAACAAGAAGAGTAAGTATATTTGATTCTGCTGCTTTAAGATATTACAGAATGTTCGCATAACAAAATTACATATTGTCGGTTGGATAAATTGATTAATTGACTTTGAATTTAAATTCGCAAGTAAAACATAATTGAAGTTTATTAAAAAAATGAAATTTAACAATCTTCAAACAATGTCTTACAAAATGGATATACATGTTTTAGATTATTTTGAAAGTACATGTAATATTTATAATTTTGTTTTGTGTGCAATAAGATCAATAAGCAACAATTTATAAAATATTATTTACTAGGTCACTACTTAACAAACTATTTTATCACCTACATGATCATGCACGTTGTTTTTGTAGCAAGATAGTTTAATTTTAACTTATAAGCTCACCAGAGCACAACTTGCTTCCCTAGACGTGATAAGAGTGTATATTGGTTATAAATAGACGAAATCTTTTTATTAAAAATTACCCGCGTGATTCCAGTCAATAGACACTGCATGTAGCTAAAATGCGGGAAAAAATAAACGAATATTTTTCTCAAACTATACTATTAAATTTTGATTAAATTTTCAAAGAATTTATTATTGGGTAGCATTTTTTCAAAAGTAAAGTGCTATTAAGTAATTTTTGGCCTGTTGAGCATGTGAGAAAACTAACTAGCTAGCTTACATAACGTCGATGGTTCTACCCGGGTGCCCATTGAACCTGAAGCAATACACAAAGTCTCCATATACACTTAAAGCTGAAAGTCGCCATATGACCTTTACTTTGTTGATGCGACATAAAACTCAACACTTAAATTTAATATCCCAGAAAAATGAAAGTCTGTCTATATTCAGAATGTTATTCTAAAAAAAAGTGATAAATATACTACTACTACTTTCTTTTTTATCTGTTGAAATAAAAATGTTATCAATAATCTGTTTCAGATTATGTAGAGTAGAAGAGAAGTAAGTACATAAGATCAGTTTTGATTTGTTAGCGAGTGATAAATATTAGTTTATAAACAGTAATATACAACATTTCTTTTTACATCATGTTCATTGGTCACCCTAATTAAGAGCAAAGCAGCACTTTCTCAAAGTTTACATATTGTGTTCTTATCTTTACAAATTATTTCAAAAAGACATATACGGAATTTTATGTTGTAGTAGGTTTCTGAGGCTTTGTATTTGGCTACGAGGAGCGGTTGAAAAAATGTTGCAAGTAAGAAAAAACATAGCCTCAGAAAGCTACTACAACATCATTTGATTCGATCCTTATAGCCGCATCTAACATAAGCTTAGATCAATGTTTTGTTCTGTAGGACCTCTTACGTCATTGAGAGAATGCATCCATTTTATAGCATACACAGCAGAAGATACTACATCGTATGACTTTCCTTGATCTAACAAATGCGTAATAAACATAGAAACACAAATAGACTGAGCTGATAAACCAACTTGATTGTTATCTTTACAGAATGGTTGAAAGGGCTAAAATAACATCTGCACTTTTGCACAGTATTTTTTAGATTTTGACTGTAAAAGATATTTGTTCATACTGCCAGTCTTGTTTATCGTATTTATCTAATTACTGCTTTATAGTAAGATTTATCACATTTGATTCTGGTACTTTTGCTTGTAAGAAGTAAATATAGAATAGCAGTCAAGTTCAAAGAAACAGAAATATGCGTACTTAAAGAACAAATGTACTCTGCATTTATTTATAAAATTTTAATGAAAATTATATCACTTTTTATACTGATACTTTTGCTTGAAAGGAGTAAATATAGATGTTAAGTTAAATCTTAGACATAGTAATTGTACATTTTTTGTAGAAACTTGCATTTTAAAAGTCTTACATAAAAAGAGTGGACTTCGTATAAAGCAATTACATTATTTATGGCCGAAAAATGGCACTGGCCTTTTTGTATATAATCCATTTCTGATTATAAACATAAGACTTCTTCTTTAGGTTTTTACAAATTATTTTTTTTTTGTTTGATGTTTAAAAATTTCAATCAAAAATTTTTAAACATTTTTGCTTGTGAGATGTTATACATTCTTCTGTAAAATATTTTATTACTTGTACAAAAAAAAATTTAGTTTTTAGATGAATAATGGGAAGAAAACCGGGTTCCCCGTAAAAAACTTTTTTTTTTAAATATCTTATCCCAATTATTTTCCCTTTTTGATAAAATTTTAAAATATCGTATTAATTTTTTTTTAAATTGTTTAAAATGTTTTAATTTGTTAATAAAAAAAAAAATAAAAGAAAAATTATTTTTGTTTTAAATGGGGAATTTTTTTTAAAATATTAAATATATTATGCAATTTTTCTTTTTTTTTTCCGATTAGAAAAAAACTGAGTAAAACATTTTTTTGAAAATTTTACATGAAATTTCATATTTCCCCAACTTTTTTCTTTCCCAGTTTGGGCTCATGCAGTTGTCGGGGGTTTTCCTACTCAGTAACTCATTACTTAGGAAAGTCGTCCCTGAAATAAGGGCATAGACGGTTGGGGCCCTTCCTTTAAAAATTTTAGACCTAAAAAGTTCCCTTTTAATTCCCATCCACTGCATTAAATTGTTCCCCCAAAACACTCGATAATTGTTTGTTGTGAAAATAAGTTAAAAGGAAAAGGGGGGAAAATAAAAAAAATTTCCCTTTTTTCCCTAAAAACATAAATGAAAAAATATTTGAAATGTTCCAATTGGGACTGTTTTTAATAATAACACAGAAAAAGGCCTTTAAAAAGTTTTCCGCATTCAAAGTTTTTTAGGGGCTCCAAATTTTACGTATTTACGTTTAAAAATTTTCCCTTTTGGTTAAAATTGCCCGCCCCGTCACTTAGGGGTTTGCAGATTTTTGGGGGGAATATTTTTAAAATCGTCTTGTGAAAAAAAATGAGATAGGGGCTTAGTTTATTTTTCCTTTTAACATTCCCAGGGTTGAACCCATAAAAAGGGTTTTTAAATTAAATGTCGTGCGACGGGTTCCCAAAAAATTACCCCCTGTTTATGGTAATTTAATATTTTCCCAAATTGACTTATAAAAAAGGGTTAAAATTTAAAATTTTGCTTAAAACTAAAAGGGTGAAGACTTTTTTTAAAAATCATATTTTTGGGGTTTGTTAAGAATTTAAAGGGGAAAAGAACAAAACTTGCCCTAGAATCAAAGGAGTCCTTATTTTTCATACCCTCAAAATTTTAAAAAACTTTTTAAAAAATTTTTTTTTTTTCAGTTTAAAAAATTGTTTTTTTTAAAATTTTTTTTTATGAAATTCAAGACTAAAAAACCAAGTCGCAATTCTCTTGAAATTTTTGTTGTGAGGGGTTTTGTTCCGAGGGTCATTTTTTTTCCCAGATTTTTTTACAAAAAAGTCGGGGAGCCAAAGGGGGCATTTAGTCTACAAAGACTACATTTCAAAATCTTTTTTAAAAAAACAAAAGTTTTAAGGGGGGTAGACATTAAGTGTGCCCGCTAATCAAACCCCAAATACAAATAAAGGGCAAAATAAATACTCATTCTAAATAAAAAATTAATTTGCCCTTTTCTAAATTTTTAACTTAGATGAATAAGGCTTTTGTGCGGTAACAGTCTTCGGGTTATGGTTCGGGATATAAAATATAAATTTTAAATGTTACATAACCGGGTTTTTAAAGATTTTTATGCAAATTTTAACAAAACTTGTGGCAATAATAAAAAAAGGGTTAAACATTGGGAAACTTTTGTTATTTTTAAAATAAAATTAGTTTTTTTTAAAATTATAAAGGGTTTTGTTTTTAAAATATTTTTGTTTTAGATAAAAAAAGAAAAAAAGAGTAAAGTATATTTAGAAATTTGTTTCAGATTTAAATAAAATTTAAAAAGGGAAAATGTGTTAAATTGTTTATCATTGATGCCTTAAACACGAAAAAATATTGATTGTTTTTGTTAAAATTTTTGTCAAAGGGAATAGATAAAGGGGGCTAAATTTGTGCAATATAAACAAACATTTTAAATAAATTTGGCAAAAAAGAAAAAAAAACAAAAAAAAACATTATAACAATACTTTATTTTTTTTTTTTTAAACCTAAAAATGCTGAATTTCATTAATTTAATGTTTTTTTTTTCGTTTTTCGTACAAAAAATTAAATTTAAATTTGATAATGCTTATTTGAAGTTAAATTTTAAAGAGCACAAAAAATTAAAGTTTTATTTCCCTTTTTAATTCAAAATATTCCCATTATTTGCTTTTTTAGTTTTTAACTTTAAATTTTTTTAAAAAGTTTTCTGTATCGATTTTAAATTTGTTTAAAATCTTGGGAAGCACATAATTTTTTTTTTAAAGGACAAAGTTAGCTACTGTATTAAAAATAGGAAAATAAAAATATTTGTGATCTGAAAATAAAATTTGGGCTTAATTTTTTTTTAAATTTCCTACTTTTTAATCATTTAAAAAAAATAATCTTTAAATTTTTTCTTTTTTATATGATGAATATCTTATAAAATATCCAAATTTTTTTTCAGCCCAAATTAAAAAGGAAAAAGAAAAAGTATGTTATTTGATTTTTCCCTTTTAAAATAAATTTCAGGGTGTGGAATGAAAAAAATTTTGTTAATTTTTGTTTAAAATTATTTTTAAAAAATAAAGGGAAAATTTATAAAATTTTTTTTTGTGTGCAATTGATAATAAAAACGATTTTAAAAATTGGGATTTTCGCGTTATCAAAATTTAAAACATTAATGACCAGGGTATGAAAATTTTTAAAGTTTTTTTATTCCCTTTGGGGCTGGAGACCCCAGGGTATTTGGGAAGCGTTTTTAAATTTTTTTAGGGTGGGGGGCACGTAAATGTTTTCGGTAATTTGGGGGAGGGAATTTTGATTGTAAAGGAAAGGGTTGGTTAATTGGAAATTTCCCAAAAACCCGCTAAAAAACTGTTTTTTCGATAGTTGGATTTACCTCCCGGGGTTAGTCCCAATTACACCTAATTAAAAAAAAAATATTACGTGATTTTCCCAATTTTTTCTATAATTTTTTAAACCCTTTAGGGTGGAAAAAATTAAAGATGTGTTTGGGAAAAATTTTCAAAGTTTTTTTAAATTATCTCTTTAAAAAACTGAAAAAACTACAAAATTAAAAAAAATTTGTAAATGGTTGCCAAAAATAAATAGAGATTTTTCTGCGTAAAATTGGGGTTGGTTTCTTTATCTTTTTTTTCTCGAACATTCAAAAAAATGGTAGGTGTTCCCATTTTTAAACATTTTTTTAAAAGAAATAATTGTTTTATCTTCGGCCCTTTTCCGGTCCTTTTAAAGGGTTGCTTTATTTGATGATTTATTGGGTTAAAATATATTTGATAAAAACGTTTTTTTCCCCCCCAAAAAATGGTTTTAAAAAAAGTTAAAATGAAATATCTTGATATATTAAAAATTTCCCCGCGGAAACCCTTTTTACTTGTTTTTAAGGGAAAATGTTTAGTTTCAACTCATAAACTCACCAGAGCCCAAATTTTTCTTCCCATGTCCGTCTTATCCCTTTTGTCTGTCTTTAAACCCCCTAAATCTTTTTAAAAACTCTTTTTTCTACAAAAAACGTGTTTATTCGTGATAAGAAATGTATTTTGGTTATAAAAAGACGAAAACTTTTATAAAAAAAAATTTTCCGCATGAATTCCCGTCAATAGACATGCTGTAGCTAAAAATGCGGGGAAAAATTAAAGACTATTTTTTCAAAACTTACTATTAAATTTTTTATTAAAATTTTTAAAGAATTTTTATTTTGGGGGGCATTTTTTCAAAATAAAGTGTACTGAAAATAAACTTTGGCCTCTTGAGAAAGTGAGAAAACTAATAGCTAGCTTGCATAAGTCGGGTGGTTTTTAAGGCCGGGTGCCCCTTGAACGTGAAACAAAGCCAAAATCTCCCTCCACAAAGTAAAGCTGAAAGTGCCATAAGAATTTTAATGTGTTGATGGACATAAAAATCAACAATTAAATTTAATTTTCCCAGAAAAAAGAAAATCCCGTCTTTTATTAGAAAGTTATTTAAAAAAGGATAAAAGTAACTTATTTCTTTTTTTTCTGTTTTAATAAAAAATGTTATCATTTATCTGTTTCCCAAATTAAGTAAGTCAGAGAGTAAATACAAAGATTTGTTTTAATTTGTAAAACCCAGTGTTTAAAAATTGTTTATAAACAGTAATAACAACAAATTTTTTTTAATATTTATTTTTGGGAAAACATTTAAAGAGCAGGGGGGAAACAAATTTTTCAAAGTTTAATTTGTTCTTTTCTTTTCAAAATTTTTTAAAAAAAAACATATAGGAAAATTATGTTTTGGTTAGGTTTCTGGGGGTTTGGGATTTTGCTAAAGAGCAGAGGTTTAAAATTTAAAATCAATTTTACAACGTTGCAAATGGAAAAAAATAGCCCCAGAAAGCTCTACAAAATAATGTGAATTTGATCATTAAACTGCATCTTTAAAAAAAGGGTTAAACAATGTTTTGTTCAGTAGGAAACTTTTTAACCCTTGAGAGAAAAAGGGCCCCCTTTTAAAAGCATAAAGAGGGAAAATAT